AAGGCTAAATACTACATATAATGATACATTTTACCTGAAATTTTTCAAAAATGAAATGCAAATTTCATAAGATACAATAGATAAATAATGAGAACATTGAGATACTGCATGGTTTGAAATCAGGAAAGATGTGAAATAGGTTGTATACTTTCACCTTGCTTGTTTAATCAGCATGTTAAACAAATAATCTGGAAAAATGGATTATGGCATTAATGAGCGAGCCAGCTCACATAACCAGGGTCAGAAGACAATGCAGAAATAGAAATAAAACACAGCTTTAGAAATAAAGACACAGACACTGATTTGGGTTTAAGAGAGACAACAGGACTCATGATCTCTAGGATCAAGAGCCCCGAGAGAAAGCATGTTTCAGTATTTATTAGCCTCTGCATTCCATGAAACCTCCCAGGAAAGCGTACATCAAAAAGACATTGAAGACTATGATTTTTTAGGCCAGGAACACTTCCTGGTATACATCCTCAAAAACAGACCCATTTTTAGCTTTTCATGAACCCGAGAACGCCACACTGAGTCTGAGGAATCACATCTGGGCATCCTCTTCTTTCTACATCATGACATATTACATTTGTCACGAGTCACTAGCGGTGTGCTGCTTCCTCATGCAGTTGTCCAGACGTGACTCCCTTCCTCATGGCTAGTTCTCGGGTTGTCTCCAACACTTGAACACTTGAAAAAGGTCTTGTACCACTGGCTCTTGATCATAGTCGTTGTTGTTGTTGTTGTTAAGTGCCGTTGAGTCGGTTCTGACCCATAGCGACCCTGTACAGGGTTTCCGAGGGTGTAAATCTTTACGGGAGTAGAAAGCCTCATCTTTCTCCCACGGAGCAGCTGGTAGTTTCGAACCGCTGACCTTAAGGTTCGCAGCCCGAATCGCTACGCTACCAGAGCTCCTTGTCGTTAGGTGCCTTCAAATCGCTTTAGAAGGCAATACTATCCAGTCCAGGGCCATCCTTACAATTGTTGCTGTCACTATGTTAATTCCTCTTAGGGGAGTGGGGGGGTTCCTCTTTTTCACGGACCCTCCACTTTACCAAGCATGATGTCCTTCTACAAGAACTGGTCCCTTCTCGCCATACTCAGTACAGTGGAGGGTTAGCGAAAAAGACTCTCAAAGAGATGGATCCACACAGGAGCTGCAACAATGGGCTCAAAGCATAGCAATGATTGTGAGGATGGCGCAGGACTAGACAGTGTTTCTTTCTGTTCTACATTAAGAACCGATTGGACTGCAGCCACAATATGGGAGGGTTCTCGAGGCCCACAAGGCCAAGGTACCCATCAGGGTAAGGGGTTGGAGGCCGTCCCGGGGGTAGCCCAGGAACGGTGGGCGTTACAGCCTGGAGACGCTGAGGCTGTAGGCCCTGGGTCCCCTGGCGCATGCGTGTCCGGGGTTCCGAAGCCAGCGCGGCTTGGGTGCCATTACGGGAGGTTTCCTCAGAGTCGGCCTGGCGCCCGAGGCAGGTTCAGCCTCAGGGCCTGCCACTGAGCGTCATTGGCTTCGGCCTTAGGGTCCCTGTCTCTCTCGAACGCCAAGCTCGGGCCTGGCGGTGACGGCTGCATCCGGGGGCGGGGCCGCCCGCGCGCCCATTGTCTGAGGAGACTGGTGAGTGCGGTGCCGGGAGGCGCGGGGTGAGGGGTGGGCGGAGGGCTGGGGCTGGGGGACGCCTCGGAGTCCGCCCTGAAGTCCCCCCACCCGAGACTTCTCCGGCCCCTCAGCCTGTGACCCGCATAGTTTAGGGCGGCCTTCGCCATTCTATTTTAGAAACGTAATTCCCATCCGTATCTTCTCCTGAAGGTGCAGCTTTCATTCAGGGAGGGGACTGAGAAAATGTGGGGATCAAGAAGGGTATATCATTAATGTCACTGAGCTGGACAAAGAGGGTTGTACATGAAGAATGTTGAAATGTGCAAACGTTCTGTTACCTATATATTTACCATAATAATAAAAAAAAAATTCTTGAATACTGAAAAAAGAAGACAAAATACCTGGAAATTATTTTGGTGTATGGTGTGGATGATGTCATTTTTGGAAAGTTTTGTCCTATCTCGAGATGATAAAAGATCATTCGTCTTTATTTTCTTGTAATACGTTAAGAGAGATTGTCATTTTCTGTTTTACATTTTGATGTCTTAGTCAACATTCTTTTAGTGGTAAGGCGGTTGGTTGTTGTTAAGTGCCATTGAATTGATTCCGACTCTACTCGTAACGACCCTGTGTAGGGTTTCCAAGGAGAGGTTGGTGGGTTTGAACTGCCAACTCTGTGCTTTGCAGTCCAGTGCTGATCACACAGAGCCACATCAAAGTGGTTGATAGGAATATGCTATTTCCCCATTTGTCCTGCCATTGAGTTGAATTAACACTTTCATTAGATTTTGAAGGCCTGTATTTATACTCTGATGTATTTCAAGACTTTAAAAAATTTTTTTCAATTTCCATTGATCTGACAGCTTCTGCACTTAGGATACCATTTTCTTTTCATTTAAAACATACTTTACTATGTTGCAGAGGAAATTCCCCTTAATAATTAATATCCTTTGGCACAATGTTGTATACCTTTTAACTTTATGTATAAATGATGTGGTGGTAGTTATGTGCCATGGAGTCGGTGTGATTCATGGTGACCCTGTATAGGGTTTCCGAGGTTGTAAATCTTTACAGGAGCAGAAAGCCTCATCTTTCTCCAGCAAAACCGCTGGTAGTTTCAGACTGCTGCCCTTGAGGTTAGCAGCCCGAACTTGTAACTACTACGCTAGGAGAGCTCCTTATGTAAATGATATAGAAGGGTGCAAAGCAGTAGTCATCTTTCTAAAAGGCAGGCTTAATCATGGCACTTAGTAGATACTCAATGGATTGTTGTTGTTGTTGTTAAAGTACCATTGAGTTGATTGTGACCCACAGTGGCCAAGGAGTGACGGGTGAGCTTGAACCACTGACCTTGTGGTTCAAACCGACTTTGCAGCCAGCGCATTAGCCCACAGCGCCACACAAGGACAATTTGATTGAAACTCTACTGCTGACAATTTTTACACAGCTCTATTGTGCCATTAAGATGATGTTCTATAAAAAAAGACCACGCTTACTGGTCAGATAGACTGGTGGAACCCCAAGACTTTGACTCTTAATAAACTTTCAGGTCTGGAACTGAACTAACCCCTGTGGTTCAATTTTCAGCCAAGCTGTAGATCGGTATGGAGTACTGGTGTGGCTCTGTAGGGTAAGCACTGGACTGCTAACCACAAGATAAATATTTCAGACCCACCACCACCTGCTCTTTGGAAACCCTATACAGGGTCTCTATGAGCCCTGGTGTGGCGCTTCGGGTTAATGCGCTGGACTGCAAAGTTGGTTTGACCTCAAGGTCGGCGGTTCCAACTCACCAGCTGCTCCTCGGAAATCCTATACAGGGTTGCTGTGGGTCAGAACCAACTCAACAGTACTTAACAACAACAATGTGTCAGAACTAAACACTAAACTACAGCAATAGCTAGGTATACAGGGAGGTACAACAGCACTAGCAAGATAAGCACACCATACAGTGATCAAAAGAGCAACATTTACCCAAGGACAGAGGTCAGAAGGATGGGAAAAGAAGAAGGGATGGAAACAAGAAACAGGGAGGAAGTAGGATGAGTGATGTTATGTTGAGGGGATTGTAATCATTCAGATGAAACAAAGTGTGTGATTTGTTGAAGGTAAAACTGATGATAGCTTTGTAAACTGTCACTCAGCTCACAATAAAAAAGAAAGAAAGAAGATAGTGCTCTAGTTCCTTGGCAATGCCCTCCTGGTTCTGCCCTTGATACTCTAGTCATAGCAGACCAGCCAAACAAGACACAAATCTCTCTGGGGAAAAATTGGTAGGTTTGGCTATGTTAAAGTGTAAAATGTATGTCTTTAAAAAGAACATAAAGCTAACTATAAGCAAGAGACTTGAAGAAAGTATTTGCAGCAGCTTCAAGAGAAAAGAGATTACTGGCTAAATTCTCTGCTATTGGTAAGTGCCATCAAGTCATTCGGTTAGGGTTTCCAGGGAACGGCTGGTGAGCTTGCACCACAATCTTGCTGTTCAAACCGACTTTGCAGTCTAGCACATTAAGCCACAGGACCACATCAACCTCTATTATTACTAGCAACAGAATGGAAAAATGGGCAAAGGATATGAACAGGCAATTTGTAGAAGAAATGCAGGTGACCAGTATAAAGAATGAGCATCAGTTCAACTTCATAATTAAGATCGCTTTTCACCATCAAGTTTATTCTAACGCTTAGTGACGCTGTTTACATACAGTGTCAGACTGTAAATCATTGCGGGAGCAGACAACTTCACGAGATTGGCAAATATTGATGCTATAAAGTGTTGAAGAAAGCACAGTAGGGTAAGCACTGGACTGCTCATAGTAAGATAGGCAGTTCAGACCCACCACTCGTTCCTCAGAAGAAAATACTATGAATGGGTGTCTTTTAACAAACAGAAAATTATTTTCTCACAGGTTAGGAGTCTGGAAGTACACAATCAGGACACCAGCTCTGGAGGAAAGTCCTTGTCCCTCTTCAGCTTCGGTTCCTGGCTCCTTAGCAGGCAGTCTTCATGTATATGGGCGGGCGGCACCCTCTTCTACCATCTGTGCCTCCTTGTTTCTGTGCTAATCTGTTCCTTTTATATCACACAAGGAATGGTTAAAAACATACCCTAGTCTGATCTGACTTCATTAACATAACAAAGAAACCCCTATTCCCCAGTAGAAACACATCCACAGGTTTACGGATTAGGATTTACAACACAGATTTTTGAAGCATACAATTCAGTCTATAACATATTTTAAAGAATGCCGTATCTTACCACACTCCACCTTCATATATGAGTGAGTAGTTTGTGTATCTTTTTACAGACCATGTAGGTCCCATTGACCAAGACCCACTCCTGCCAATGCTGGTGCATCTCATTACAGATGCTCAGCCTGACATTGTGTCTTATAAGATGCCTGCTGGAGACATACCTGAGTACCACAGTGAAGGTGGTACATGGAAGATGGATGCCTGTAGGGAAAATATAGCTAGTCACCTTGTGTTCAGTGCCTCCAAGTCAGTTCTGACACAACGACCCTGATAGGGTTTTCAAGGAGCAGCTGGTGGGTTTGAACCACCAACCTTGCAATTCAAAACAATGCTTCGGTACAGTGCATTATCCCACAGTGCCTCACCAGTACTCCTTGAGGAGCTCCCAAATCTCAGCTCTGCATGAACAGGGTAAGAACATGAGAGTAGTTATCACAGCAACAGAAATCATTCCTATGGCTAGCCATTGAATTCTGAGGCTCTGAGTCAGAGATGGGGGCACCTTTAACCATAACCCATGAATTACAGTTCCCCAGGACACCGGACAATCAGGTTTCTGTGGCTGGCCAAGATTAGCAAAGCTTTGATGACTCTGCAACTTAAGAAGTTCAAAGAAGTGTTGTCATCCTGTTGAGGACTGGACCCAGTTAACTCCAGAAGGAAGGGGAACATACTGAAAAATTAGAATGGATTGTTCTGGAGAATTGAAGCATCCTCGTAGAGTAGAAAAGAAACAGATCTCTGGAGTTTGCGTCTCAGGGTGAATTCTTCCCACAGGATAAAAACTGAGACTAGGGCCTCCACTGAGGTTCTCTGCATCATACCATCTCAGTGGTGCTCACCCCACTTGCAGTCACATGGAGACTTTAGGATGTAAGATGCTGTTGCCCAGATCCCACCCCACACCCCTGAACTTCAGATCTCTGGGAAAGAGGGCTGAGCTCTGACACCACTGGAAAACTCCCCAAGGAGCTCTTGAGCTTCGTACCTGCCACAGTCTGTCCTGCATTGAACTTCCCACGAGAGCGACAGGGTGGTCACGGTTAAGGCACCTAGCCTTTAAGCTCATGTTGTTCAAGGTCTCTCTCTAAGCTGTCTTAACTCAAAGCACAAACTCCAAGGTTTAGGCTCCACTCTGATGGCCTCTACTGACATGATGCTTTCCCTTCTCCCCAGTATGCCCTCTCAATGCTGTACTTTCCCAGGAGGAGAGCCTTCAGGAGAAAGAAATGGATGAGGGGTCACAGATCATCAGGTCCCAGGTAAGACCGTTTTCCTCTCCTCTGAAACGCTGTCCTAGTTCTCAGAATGGGGCCACTTTTGTTTTCAATTCTCTGAAGTGCTAAGCCCCTAAAACCCAACTAAGGCCTTAACACCCATTTGCTTTGTACAGGAAAACGGTGACAGATGGTAATCTGCAAGATGTTCCCCATTTGCCTCTGATACCCCTTTACAGCTCTTCCACGTCCCAGCACAGGTTCATACCTTTGCAGGGTGTTGTGAAGAAAATAATGAAGCAGCAGACTGCCTTTGAATCAGCCTCCGCCTCAGCAGCTCTCTAGAATTTTGGAGTGCTGCCATTCTCTTCGTACACACGATGACTGATGCTCAGGCCACTATGAATGCTTGGAGTTCATGGAATTATTAAATATTCCTGAGGACATCTGCAACAAGTCAGTGCTTAACTAAGAGTCTGTTGTATTGCTTCTAAAGCCCATTATGCTTGTCATTATAATTCTGTAAATTCATGAAATATTCCGTGAACTGATGAGACATGAAAATTGGTTTAATTCTTTGGAAAGATCTGGTACATGCCAGTCACTTAAAATCACTGCTATCAAAATATGTGTGGGCAAAACTGAAACACTGAAGGAAAAATCCTGAAAATCTGGCAGAGACAGGCATTCAGAAAATATACTAATAAATTGTCGTTTGAGTTTTTTTTGTTGTTGTTTACTTACGAGATAATAAATAACAGACTTGGTGGCATAGTGGGTTAAGCATTGGGCTGCTAACTGAATGGTTGACTGTTCAAACCCACCAGCCGCTCCAAGGGAGAAAGATGAAACCGTCTGCTCCTGTAAAGATTTACAGTCTTGGAAACCCTACAGGGTCACTGTGATTCGGAACCGACTCCATGGCAGTGGGCAGGACTGAGGATTAGAGGTCTCTAAGGAACTCTGGTAGCGTAGTGGTTACGAATTGGGCTGCTAACCTCAAGGTCAGCAGTTCGAAACTACCAGCGGTTCTGTAGGAGAAAGATGAGGCTTTCTGCTCCCGTAAAGATTTACAGCCTTGGAAACCCTGTGCAGGGTCGCTATGAGTCGGAACCAACTCCACGGTACTCAACAACAACAAGGAGCTCTGGAAGTGTAGTGGTTACAAATTGGGCTGTGAACCACAAGGTCAGCAGTTCGAAACTACCAGCTGTTTTGCAGGACAAATATGAGGCATTCTGCTCCTGTAAAGATTTACAGCCTTGGAAACTATACAGGGTCGCTGTGAGTCAGAACCGAATCCACAGCACATCACTACCACCACCACCACCACCACCACCACCACCGGGTGACACGAACAGTTTTCATTTGACTGCTAACCTAAAGATTGGCAGTTGAAAAACTCACCTAGCAGTACCTCGGCTAAAAAGGCTTCCATAAGGATTACAGCCAAGAAAGCCCAATGATGAGACTGCTGTGTAACCTGTGGAGTCACTGTGAGTTGGAATCCACTTAACAGCAACTAACAACAACACAAATGAGGATTAGGGACTCAGGAAAGAACTCTGTGGGGAAGCAAATTTAAAGCTGAGATGTAAAGGATATGTAGGTGTTTTAAAGTAAGTGGAAAAGAGCATTCAAGGCTGATGCTGAATGTTGTATGTAAAAGCCACAAGCATATTGAGACATTAAAAGAAAGTCACTATGATGGAGGAGAGAGAAAAAGTAGCTTTGGATGCACTTAGAAAAGTAAGCTGCACCTTGTAGCAATGAAAAGGAGTTTGGGACTTTAAGCAGGAATGTAACATAGTAAGTTACCTAGTGACGTGCTATATGATAAGTAAATGTTATGTGATAAGCAACTTGGTAAGAGCAATATGGAAGAAGGAGAGAACCAGTTAGGAAGCTATTGCAGAATCCTAGATGATAGAAAATAGTAGCTGAAAACTAAGAAATAAAAAATAATCAAACAGAACCAAGAGATGAAGAAAAGGGGCTGGATTTGAGTGCTTTGCTAGAGAAAACAGCAAAGATTTAACTAGTGGGACAAAGGAAAGAGAAAAAAAGTGATTTTTTCAATTCATAGGTTAAGAGCTAATTTTTTTTTTTTAGCAGTGGTTATGATGATCACTGGGAGCACGGTGGCTCCATACAACAAGCATTGGACTGCAAACCACAAGGTCAACGGTTCAAGCCTGCCAGCTGCTCCACGGGAGAAAGATGAGGCTTTCTGTTCCCGCAAAGATTTAAAAAAAAACTCAAAAACCCTACACAGAGTTGTTCTGAGTCTGAATTGACTTGAAAGTGATTAACAACAAGATGATTTATCACCACCACTCATCTGTCAGTTTGTAGTACTGTAGTGGCCTGCATGTTGCTGTAATGCTGGAAAGTATTTTAAATACCAGCAGGGTCACCCATGGTTTCTTTGGAGCTTCCAGACTAAGGCAGACTAGGAAAAAGGAGAGATCGACAACTTCTGAATGTTGAGCCAGTGAAATCTTTATGAACAGCAATGGATCATTGTCAGAGATAGTGCCAGAAAATGAAAACATTATGAGTAGCAGAAGAATATTGTCTGATACACAGCCAGAAGATGAGCTCCTCAGGTTGGAAATCACTTGAAATATGCCTAGGGAAAAGCTGCCTCTTCAAACTAGAGTTGACCGTGATGACATGAATGGAGTAAAACTTCCAGTTTTGGTGGGGCAAAACTCAAAATGAGAGAAAAAGCATCAAACATCCATTAATAATCGGAATGTGGACTGTACAAAGTATGAATCTAGAAATACTTGAAATTGGCAAAAATGAAATGAAACTCATTAATATTGATATCTTAGGCATTAATGAGCTGAAATCCACTGGCATCATCTATTTTGAATATGACAATCATATGACTTGCTGAATGACAAATTGAAGAGGAATGGTGTAACATTAATCGTCAGAAAAATATTTCAAGATCTACCTTGAAGTTTAATGCTGTCTGTGGTAGGATAAAATCCGTATGCTTCCAAGGAAGACTCAAATTTACACACCAACCACTAAAACCAGTGATGATGAAATTGAAGAATTCTACCAACTTCTTTAGTTTGAAATTAATCAAACATGCAGTCAAGATATATTGATAATTACTGATGATTGGAATGCAAAGGTTGGAAACAAAGAGGAAGGATCAATAGTTAGAAAATAAGGCCTTTGTGATAGAAATGATGCTGGAGATTGCATGATAGAATTTTGCAAGACCAATGACTTCATTACACATAACCATTTTTAAACAACATAACATGGACCTCACCAGGTGAAATACACAGAAATCAAACTGAATACATCTGTGGGAAAAGATAGTGGAAAAATTCAGTATCATCAGCCAAAACTAGACCAGGAACAGACTATGAAATAGACCACCAATTGTTCGTATACAAGTTCAGGCTGAAGCTGAAGATAATTCAAGTTCAATAGAGACAAAATATGGCTTTAAATATATCCCAACTGAATTTAGAGATCACCTCAAAAGCACATTTAATGCTCTAATGACCGAAGACTAGAAGAATTGTGGGATGACTTCAAGAACATCATACATGAAGAAAGCAAAAGGTCATTAAAAATAAAAGAAAGAAAAGACCAAAATGGATGTCAGAAGAGGCTCTGAAACTTGCTTTCCAATATAGAGATGCCAAAGCAAATTAAAGAAATTTGGAGGTAAAAAAGCTGAATAAAAAATTTGAAAGGTAGCTCAAGAAGACTTAGTCAAGAATCATAATGAAATGTTTAGGGAATGATTGCTATCAGTTTTGACAGTGAGTGTTGGAAAGGTAAATATAAATGTTTTGTAACAAAAGGAGGGAAGTGGATAATTTTGCAGTCCACGGGCGGAGATCCCTGGAACCTTCAAGGGAGGGAGAAAAGCGAAGTACGAAGAAGTACAGGACCCTGTCCTGGGAGGCAGTGACACCAGGGATGGAGGCAGAGATGATGATATGGAGAGGAGCGGCTGGGAACTCTGGACTCAGGGAGGGAGAGGGGCTGTGTGCTGGTGGCTGGGGGGTAGGCTTGTGGGGTGTACCCTTTGGTTGTTTGATGATGCATGCAGGAGATTGTAATCATTGTAATGAAACGAAATACGATAGGATGAATGTAAGGATAATGTTCTCTGATGTAAACACGTAATTCACAATAAAAACGTAAAAAAAAGAATTATAATGAAATGGATAAAGAACTGGAATTAGAAAACTGTAAGGGAAGAACATATTCAGCATTTCTCAAGTTGAAAGAACTGAAGAAAAAATGCAAGCTCTGACATGCAATATTGAACTATTTTATGGGCAAATATTGAATGGTGCAGAAAGCAACAAAAGATGGAAGGAATTCAGAGTCACTGTACCAAAAAGATATGGTCAGTGTTCACCCATTTCAAAGAGGTAGTATATGATGAAGAATCAGTGATACTGAAGGAAGAAGTCCAAGCTCTTCTGAAAGCATTGGTGAAAAACAAGGCTCCAGGAATTGGCAGAATACAAACTGAAATCTTTCAACAGACTGTCACAGCACTGAAAACACTCACTCATCTATGCCAAGATTATTTGGAAGACAGCTTCCTGGTCAACAGATTGGAAGAGGTTCATATTTGTACCCAATTCCAAAGAGAAGTTACACAATGGAATGTAGAAATCATCAAACAATATCATTAATACCACATGCAGTTACAGTTTTGCTGAAGATAATTAAAAACAGTTGCAAAAGTACATCAACAGAGAACTGCCAAGAATTCAGATTCAGTAGAGGATGTGGAACAAGGGCTATCATTGCTAATGTCGGATACCACGAAGATGTTTACTTGTGCTTTATTGACTATGCAAAGGTTTACTCATGACAAACTGTGGATAAACATTGTGAAGCATGAGCATTCCAAAACACTTAATTGTACTCATGAGGAACCTGTACATAGACCCAAGAGGCAGTTGTTAGAACAAGGAGATATTGAATGGTTTAAAATCACGAAAGTTGTGCTCTAGGGTTGTAATCTTTCACCATACTTATTCAGTCTCTATGCTAAGAAAATAATCCAAAAAGCCAGATTATATGAAGAAGAAAGTAGCATCAGGGTTGAAGGGAGAGTCCCTAACAACCTGCAATATACAGATTATACTACCTTGTTTACTGGAAACCAAGAGAACTTAAAATACTTAATGATGAAGATTAAAGAACACAACCTTTGGTATGGGTTGCACCTCAATGTAAAGAAAACAGAAATCCTCACCACTGAGCCAATGATTAGCATGATACATGGAGAAAAGATTGAAGTTTTCATAGACTTCATTTTGCCTGAGTCCAGTATCAACACTCTTGGAAGCAGCTGTCAAGAAATCAAATGACGTATTGCATTAGTCAAATGTGCTGCACAGGACCTCTTTAAAGTGTTAAAGAGCAAAGATATCAGTATGAGGACTAAGGTGTACCTGACCCAAGTTATGGTATTTTCAGTCACTTGTATGCATGTGAGGAACACTGGTGTGATGCTCTGGGTTAATGCACCAGAGTGCAAAGCTGTTTGAACTGCAAGGTCAGCAGTTCAGGCTCACTAGCTGCTCCTTGGAAACCCAATACAGGGTTGCTATGGGTCAGAATCCACTTTACAGCACTTAACAACAACAACAACAATATGCATGTGAATGTGGATAGTGAATGAGAAAGATTACAGAACAATCTATGTGTTTGTATCATGGTGTTGGAGAAGAAGCACCACGAACTGCCGGAAAAACAAGCAAATCTGCCCTGGAAGAAATAGAATGTTCCTTAGAATCCAGGATGGCGAGACTTTATCTCTTGTGCTTTGGAGGGACCAGTCCTGGAGAAGGACATCATGTATGCTAAAGTGGAGGATCAGCAAAAAAGAGGAAAGCCCTCAACCAGATTGATTGACAGAATAGCTTAAGCAATGGGTTTAAGCATAACAACAATTGTGAGGATGGTGCAGGTCCAGGCAGTGTTTCTTTCTGTTGTGCTCTGCTGTTGTTAAATGTCGTTGAGCTCATTCCAACTCATAGTGACCCTGTACAGGCTTTCCTAGGAGAAACTGCTAGGTTTGAACTGCTAACTTTGTGGTTCACAGTCCAATACTGTTGTGCATAGGAGCACTTTAAGTCGGCACCGATTTGGTGGCACCTAACAACAAGGAAGACCGGTTAATACTACTCTATTCAAATTTACCCACCCCCTACGAAAGCCAGTGATGATGAAATTGAAGAATTCTATCAACTTCTTCAATGAGATGGATGACACAGTAGAAGCTCAAACATAGTGACAATTGTGAGGATGACCCAAGACCTAGCAGTGTTTTGTTCTCATGTATATAAGCTCACTTTTTGTCAGAATTGCAGCAACAACAACCTAACAAAGATACAAGACTACTGAATGCAGAGCATAATCTTGGGTTTTCTTTTTTATAAAGAACATTAAGGAGCTTTGGTGGCACAGTGGTTAAAAACTTGGCTACTAAAAAGGTCAGGAGTTCAAACCCACCAGATGTTTTGTCAGAGAGCGCTGTGGCAGTCAGCGTTCATAAAGATTTACAGACTTGGAGACCCTCTGGGGCCGTTTTCATTTGTCCATTAAGGTTGCTGTGAGTTGTAATTGACTCAACAGCAATAGGTTTGGTTTTTGGTTTTTGGTTTAGGACCATAGGTGCACTCTGTAGATTAAATAGCACTGCAGTGGTCGGACTCTTGGTAGGATGCTGTAGGATCAGCACTGGAATGCGAGCCACAAGGTCAGCCGTTGAAACCTACCAGCTGCTCCTCGGAAACCCTGTACAGGGTGGCCATGCGTCAGAACTGACCTGACGGCACTTAACGACAACTGTAATAGTTGAAGTCCTTGGGTGACACAAGTGATTTGCTCTAATCTACTAATCTGAAGGTTGCCAGTATGAGTCCACCCAGCCACATCATGGAAGAAAGGTCTGGTCATCTTGCCCTGTAAAGATGGCGTCCAGAAAACCCTGAGAGACAATTCTATGCTAACATATGGAGGCACCATGACTCTGAAGTGAGTCAATGACAGGGTTTCTTGATAAAGTGGAAGCTTTCCAAGCTCTTGTCATTTAGACCAGGACACTTTCTCATTTATAAGATCTACCTGAGCCAAGGAAAGAAGTTCATTTCACTGATCCAACCACATGTCATGTCCCTTCTACTTGTAACCTATTTGCCTTGCTGGCTGTCACTACCTCCCTTCCCGTTTTTTAAAACCTGCTAGAATATTCTGACTTCTTTTCTGTCCAAAGCTTAAAAATATTTAAGAGCTACCTTCTTGGTATTTATTTTCACTGTTTCAACATATCTTGAACTTTTATTTCTAAAGTTTCATAGCAAGAACTTCCCATATAAAGTCATTGTCACTTTTCAAATAGATGAATAGTCTTTCTCCTATACTAAGAGTCCTGGTGTGATGCTGTAGGAAAAGTGCAGGCCCACAAGGTCAGTGGTTCAAATTCACCTGCTGCTTCTTGGAAACCTTATACAGGGCCGCTGTGAGTTGGAAACTAACTTAACTTGGTGAGTTTGAACTGCTGACATTTCAGTTCAAACCAACCTTGCTGTCTAGCACATTAACCTGCAGCGTCACAACAACAACATAGCAAATATAAAAAGCTTAGAAGCAAGAATTATTTCCTGCATGTTTTCATTATAGTGGTCTTAAAAGATATTAGAGAGACAGGTACATAATTGTCATTCTTGACCTGGGTTCCTCTGAGCCCTGAAGACTTGACACAGTGCCTTAGACATCCTGATCTCCATACAGAGCTGCCTCTTCCCTCCTATTCCTGAGGCCCCGCCAGAGCGTTTCTGGCTGAGCAGACATGTGTTTGCTGTTTCAGGAATCAGTGACATTCCAGGACGTGGCTGTGGACTTCACCCAGGAAGAGTGGGAACAGCTGGACCCTGCTCAGAAGAGCCTGTACCGAGATGTGACTCTGGAGAACTACAGGAATCTGGCTGCACTGGGTGAGGCCACTGTCCCTGCTAGCTTGGAAACTCTCTGAATGGCTCCTGTTTCAGAGGCTCCTGGGAGTGCAGTTGTGACCCAGGCAGGAGAACACTCCAGGCATCCCTCATTTTAGTATGCTTCGCTTTATGGCACACCACAAGACTGTGTTTTGTAAAATTTGAAGGTGTGTACCAACCCTGTTGCTCACTTCATGGCCTCACATCATGTCTCTCTGCTGCTTCCCATGACGGTTGTTCTCACAGCATCACAAGCTCATTACACACTTTATAGACCACAGTGTAGTGTCAGCCTCACTTTTGTATCTGGGAAACAAAAATTGTGTGACTCGCTTTATTGCGGTAGTCTGGAAATGACCCTGCGGTATCTTGGAGGTGTGCCTGTCATCAGTTTTGGGGGTGGAGATTTTTGTTTCCTGCTCTCTATCCCCAAGTTTTGACTTTGTTGAACTTGAGGTGAGTAGCTTTACATTGGAGTCTTGAGGTAATTCAGTTATCGTGCTGGGCTGGTAACTGAAAGGTGAGCAGTTCGAGTCTACGCAGAGGCAGACTGAAAACTCAGCCATTGGAAACACTATGGAGCAGAGCTCTGCTCTGACAGTTGGGGTTGCTGTGAGTTGGAGTTGACTCGGCAAACGGAAGCCTCTCGAAAAATTCTGAGGTCTTAAAAATGGAAAAACAGGTCTTTGGGTGACACAAATGGTTTGCTCTCAGCTACTGTGGTAAAGAGCTCTGGTAGCATAGTGGATTATGAGCTGGACTGCTAACTGCAAGGTCAGTGGTTCAAATCTACCAATCACTCCGCAGGAGAAAGGTGAGGCTTTCTGCTCTTGTAAAGACTTACAGCCTCGGAAACCCTATACAGGGTCACTGTAGTATTGTAGTGGTAACAAGTTTGGCTGCTAACCACAAGGTTTGCAGTTCGAATCTACCAGCCACTAAGGAGAAATATGAGGCTTTCTGCTGTCATAAAGATTTATAGCATTGGAAGCCCTATGCAGGGAACCAACTCCACTGCATATTACCACCACCAGCCGCAGCAGCATAACTGAAAGGTTAGTGTTTCTAACATGCACAGTGGTGCCACCGAAGAAAGCCTGATGATCTGCTGCCATCAGACCACAGCAAAAGGAAACCCTGTGGAACACGTAGGGTCACCGTGAACTGGAGTCGATTCGACAGCTGTGGGTTTACTTTTTATTTTAAAAAGACTAAAAAGGTTGGAAAGGAGCTCTGGTAGCATAGTGGTTACAAATCGGGCTGCGAACCTTAAGGTCAGTGGTTCGAAACTACCAGCCGCTCCGCGGGAGAAAGATGAGGCTTTCTACTCCCGTAAAGATTTACACCCTCGCAAACCCTGTACAGGGTCGCTATGGGTCGGAACCGACTCGACGGCACTTAACAACAACAACAACAACAAAAAGGGTGGAAGTAAATTCTGAGAGTGAATACTGTCCCCCTTGTAAATTCCTAAGACATATACTTTTCCAACGACTAGGGCATCAACTTTATAAGCCAGAAGTGATCACTCATTTGGAGCAAGAGGAACAGTGGATGATGGAAAGCAAGAACCTACCAGTCACCCATCCAGGTGAGAAACAAGCATTTTGACCTTGGCTGCTTCCTGAGAGGAAGTAGTCCTGCTTGTGAAGCTCAACTGGGTTCCCAAAAGCTTCTCCTGGGGTTTAAAGAAAGCTGAAGCCTTAAAATAAGAGTCATTTCACTTTGTGTTTCCCAAGTAGAAATAGTTCCTACTGCTTTCTGATTGTACTATAAAATTGTGTGTGTATATTGTTACACAGTGCAGAAGGTACTTTGAAGATATTTGGTTGGAATACCTTTAAATACTTTGATGTTGCAAATCTCAAATGCCATTTTATTTCTCTCTTTTCTTCATTATCCTCTCTCAGCATCTTTCCCTCTTTTTTTAAATTGTGGTGAAAGCACACAAATGAAAACATCTGCCAACACAACTTCCATATCTACAAATTACTGACGCTGATTACATTGTCAAGTCATGCCATCATTGTTGCCATTCTCATCAAAAACATCCCAGCACCATTAACATAAACTCGGTGGCCCCCAAACAGTATTCCCCCTTCCCTCTCCCGTCCACCCCTGGTAGCCATTCATAATCTTTGGTTTTTAATATATTATTTCATATAAGTGAGATCATACGGTTTTTGTCCTTTTGTGACTGACAGATTTTTCTCAGCAGAATGTTTTCATTCATAGAGAACTTCATTTCTCTTTATGGTTGCATCATATTCCATTGTCTGTATATAGCACATTTTGTTTATCGATTCATGTGTTGATGGACATTTTGTCCATTTCTACCTTTTGTATACTGTAAAAGATGCTGCAGTGAGGATTGGTGTACAGGTATGGTAACATACCAAGGATTGGGATTGCTAGGTCATAAAGGAGATCTTTGTTCAATTTTTGGAGAGACTGGCAAGCTGTTTTTCACAGTGGCTGCATTATTTTACATTTATAGCAGCAATGTAGTTTCTCTATAACTTCACCCAACACTTGTTTTCCTTTTTTTTTTTTTCTAAACCACTGCTATTCTGAGAGAGGTGAAGTGATATCTCATTGTGGTTTTGATCCAGTGTGGTGCTTACTTACTAGTCTGAAAGGTCTGTTTAAACTGCAAGATCAGCAGTTCAAATTCACCACCTGCTCCTCAGAAAACCTACACAGGGTCACTATGAGTAAGAGGTGACTCAATGGCACTTAACAACAACAGTGGCTAATGAGGAGCCCTGGAAATGCAGTAATTTAAGTGCTTGGCTGCTAACACAAAAGTCAGTAGTTTGAACCCATTAGCTGATCTGCAGGAGAATGTTGTGGTCGTCTTTTTCCATAAAGATTACAGCCTTAGAAACCCTATAGGATCATTCTACTCCGTGCTGTAGGGTTGCTGTAAGTTGGAATCTACTTGAGGGCAGTGAGTTTGGCTTTTTGGATTTAGGATGACTAATAAAAGAGCCTTGGTAGTACAGTGGTTAAGCTCCCAGCTGCTAATCAACAGCTCATAGGTTTGATCCCATCATCTGTTCTTCAGGAGAAAGATGTGGCTGTCTGCTTCCATAAAGATCACAGCTTTGGAAATGCAGTGAGGCAATTCGTCCGTATTCTGTAGGGTAGCTATGAGTTGTATTGACTCAGTGGCAATAGATTTGGGTTTTTGGTAGTGGTGGTTTTTGTTTTCAGTGGCTAATGACGTTGAAAGGAGCCCTAATGGGTTAAGCATTGGATTGCTAGCCACAAGTTTGGTGATAAAAACCAACCCGCTGCTCTGTGAGAGAAAGATGAAGCAGTCTGCTCCAGTGAAGATATACAGTTTCAGAAACCTCTAGAAGTAATTCTCATCCGTCTCACGGGGTGACTGATGAGTTGGAATCCCTTGAAGGCAGTGAACACTGATGGTTGTGAAGTAATGTTGAACATCTTTCCATGTCATGTTGGCCACTTGAGTTTCCTTTCTGGTGAAGTGTTGTTGTTTCAAGTCCTTCGTCTGCTTCATAATTGGGTTACTTCTTTTTGTTGTTAAGTTGTAGAATTTTTATATATTTTTTGGAGATTAGGCTCTTAACTGAGCTTCTGGTGTGGTGTTGGAGGATTAACACTGGACTGCTAACTGCGGGGTCGGCAGTTCAAACCCACCAGCCGCTCCTCGGCAACCCTACACAGGGGTGCTATGAGTAGGAACAACTTGATAGCAGTTAACATCATCAGTCCCTAACTGACACATGGTTCCAGAAAAGGTTCTCCTAATTATTCTGTAGGTAGTCTGTATACTTTGTTGATAGAATCCTTTGTTGTACATAGACTTTGATTTTTAATGAGGTTTCATCTATCTATTTTGTCTTTTGTTGCTTAGGTTTTTATATCATGTATGATAATCTTTCACTAAACACTAGGTGCCACAGCTTTGTCCTTACATTTTCTTCTAAGAAGTTTAGGATTTTTGCTTTTACATTTAGATCCTTGATCACTTTGAATTTTTTTTTAATTTTTATGGCAGCTATGGTCATGTATACTCCTATACCAGAGCTTAGGTTAATGAACAAGAATGTGTTTGCTCCTTTGGGCTAACTTGAATCTCAAGATAAGCATTGAGAGTCAAGAAATCTCCAAGGAATCTTCAGTCTAGAATCTAGACCCTGGGATGCAAGTAGGCCACTCTGTGATTGAAAATCTGAGTGTGCATTAGGGTGTACCTAATGAGAGAGCCCTTCCTGGATAGTAGAGTCACTCAGGGTAGCAGTAGATGGTGCGTGGCCAGCAGCAGCAGCAGTTTTACCTCACTGCGGCATGATATGGGAGAAGGGAAAGCAGCAAAGCAGCCAGGAGCATGTTGATCCATTTGCTCTGCTCCTAGGGAGTGAATGCCCTGAATTCCATTCCTAGACAAGTAGTATTTTTATCATTTTAAACAAAAGCTTTAACATAGGAAGAAATATTTTTTAAATTAGCAAATAGCTGCCTTTATGATAGCGTAATCTACAGACAAGGTTAAAAAGGGCCTGGGTACCAAGCTATTGTCTTCTCTAAATAGTCTTTTTATGCCATCTCTAAACACAGACCTTTTTCTGGTATTTCTTATTCTCCTTTCAACAGTGCGTGTTTCTGAGTGATTTTTTCCATTTATGATTATCACATATTTTACAATTTTCCCTGATGACTGCTTATTTTCATCTTATACTTTGTCCTTGTTTGAGAACTCCAAATGCTACGTATTGCCATGTCTGCATTAATGTCAGTTTCCTTGGTAATTCATTATGCAGTCATTTCTTTTTCAAAGCATAGAGAATATTAATACGTACTTTTATCTTCTTGATTTCTTTTAGATGTGGAGAATAGACCTGAAATAAAAAAGTCAACTCCAAACAAGATTATTTCTGATGAAAAGCAAGCACATGACAATATAATGGAGAGACTAACAGGAAATAATTTCTGGTTCTCCATCTTAGGAGGACTCTGGGATTTTGATTATCAGTTAGAGTTGAACCAGGAAAGCCATCAGAGACATTTGGGACAAGGATCTCTCACCCACAAAAAGATTACTCAGGAGAGAAGCTTTGAATGCTTTAAACTTAGGGAAACCTATAACCTAAAATCAAACCTTATTCATCAAAGAATTCCTTCAGTGAAAATTCCGCTTAACTCTGACACACAAGGAAATGGCATCAAACATATTTCAGACTTGATTTACTATCAGGGAAATTATATAACAGAGAATCCCTATGAATATAACGAAGGTGGAAAAATCTTAAGTCAACATCTTCTCAGTAATCATATTCATACTGCAGAGAAGCCCAGTGAATGTGGGAAGGCCTTCACCCACAGCTCCTCTTTAGCCCAACCTCAAATAGTCCTTACAGGAGAGAAGCCCTACAAGTGTGATGAATGTGGAAAGAGATTCAGCCAGAGGATCCATCTTATTCAACATCAGAGAATCCACACAGGCGAAAAACCCTTTATATGCAATGAATGTGGGAAAGCCTTCCGTCAGCATTCATCCTTTACTCAACACCTGAGAATTCACACTGGAGAGAAGCCCTATAAATGCAATCAGTGTGGCAAAGCCTTTAGCCGCATTACATCCCTTACAGAGCATCATAGACTTCACACTGGAGAGAAGCCTTATGAATGTAGTTTTTGTGGGAAAGCCTTCAGCCAGAGGACACACCTTAATCAACATGAGCGAACTCATACAGGAGAGAAACCCTATAAATGTAATGAGTGTGGAAAAGCCTTCAGCCAGAGCGCACATCTTAATCAACATAGGAAAATCCATTCTCGGGAGAAATTATGTCAATACAATAAATATGAGAAAGCCTTAAGCCAAAGTCCTTCACTTATTCAGCAGCACCTAAGTCCTGGGGGGGAAGTCATATGAATATTTTAAATGTAGCAAACGTTTCAGTCAAACCTTTTCATTCCACTCATCACTAAATTATTCATCATGGAGCGAAAGCTTATAAATTAACTTATATAAGCCAAATCAACTTAGACCTCAAACTAGTAGTGCATTTTTGCTTCAGATCATATTAGGAAATGTTCCAAATCTGATATCAAGATTTTTAAGTTAGCCTATAATTACTCACCTGTAAGCTTTATGATGGAGTCCTTGTGTAGTGCTGTGGATTAATGCGCCAACTGCAAGGTCGGTTTGACCTGCAAGTTCATCGATTCAAATTCAACAGCTCCTCTTCTGAAACCCTATACAGGGTCGCTATGGGTCAGAACCGACTTGATGGCACTTTACAACAATAACAAGTTTTATGATAGAAAGCTTTTAAACTGTATAAACATTGATTAATCAAGACCATGCTATAGTGTAGCCAGTCACAGAAACTTGAAATAAACGTGAATGAACAGTATTCCTCAAACTCCAGTCATTTGTGTACCTGCTTTACAGCTTTGGCTATGCCGATTACTAATACTTTGAAAGAACTTGGGATTTTTAGCTTTTTACTAAGAATCATTACTTATGAAAATTCCTAGTTTTATATGCTAATTGTATTTGTTCTAATATATATGTATCTGGAGTCCTGGTGTGGCGCTGTGGATGAATGCATCAGACTGCAAAGTCATTTGAACTGCAAAGTTGGTAGTTCAAGCTCACCACCTGCTCCTCGGAAACCCTATGGGTCGGAAGTGACTTGATGGCACTTAACAACAACAACTATATATATGTATATATGTAAACTTAGAAACTAAAGAAATATTCATCAGTGTATCACTTAAAATCTTGTGTGCCATCACTTGAAGGACAGTCTGGTAAGATATGGCAATGTTCAGTTCTTACTCTTTCAGCAATTCTTGCATCATTTTCATCTAATGACCCATAGGATCATTTGAGGAGAATCTTGAAGGAGATTCAGGATCATATTAATGAACTTTGAAAAATGTATTCAGAGAAGTCTATTTTTTTATCTGCTATCCTAGTTTTAAACTTCCTTGTAGCAAAATATTTTTTCTTAGTTAAAAATGTGATTTTTGGTATATTTGAAGGTTTGAACAGAGAGTTCTGTTGATAATGACCATAAACTAAGAACCCTCCTACCACCTATACTGTTGTTGGAGGTGACAGGTAGCAAAGAGAGGAGCTGAGAGAGAACACAAGAGTGAGCTTGATGCTATATTGAGTTCAGACCAGGAACAGCCGGTTGGCTTGATAATTTCATGAATTGAAATATAGTTATGCCACACTTTTTTTCCAAAGGGAATTTAGTTTTATTTTTATACTTACGATTACTGTCTTGTTTGGCAAAAGTCAGATTTTCACGTTACTAAACATTTTAAGGGGAGCACAGTGGCTCTGTAGGATAAGCATTGGACTGCAAACCACAAGGACGGCAGTTCAAGCTGCTCTGTGGGGAGAAGATGAGGTTTTCTGCTCCAGAAAAGATCTAAAGCCTCAGAAACCCTGTACAGTGTCACTCTGAGTTGGGACCAATCCGGAGGCACTTAATAACAACAACAAAGCATTATGAAGGTCAACTGTCTAGCCATTGCACATATTGGACTGCTTCAGTTTCTTGGCTTTCTCTTTATCCTTAGGCGTGGCTCAAGTAACCATGAGACTAAGGTAGGAATCTAGTCTCCTTCCTTCCACATTTTTTTTCTAACATAGCCCCAGCTTGAGACTTCCCTCATTTTTTTTCCCTGTGGAAGCATATGATTTTAAAGGCCTTGCTTGAGTCAAGGTTGAAGTGATTTCAAGACCTAAAAATTAAAGCACTAAAAAATTCAAAAAGTAATAAAGTAAGTTCACCTCTTCAAAGTACATTTATAACCCACTCAGCAATGTGTGCGAAATAGTTGATCAACCCTGAGCTATTGAAGTTGGGGAGGATTTCTCATAGCATTTTGTATGCAAATTCCTGTGCTGGGGAGATTTTTATTTCAGTGTAGATCAGTGCTAGAAGTATTTCTTCACCAAAAGAAGATTGATTTGCCATAATGAATATGGATAGGGCATTAAGATTTTAGGAAGGGACACAGTGAGCCAAGGTAAATCCACGAACAGCAGAGGGAGAAGTAATGTTTCATTACAATTGATGAAGGCCTTGGTCAAAGTTTACTTTTGCAACAAAACATGAATATTCCACCTAGAATATTAAAGCTTCCAAAACAAGGCAGCATATTACAACAGATATAAAATGAAAACAATACGGGATTCTCAGAAGAGCAATAGAATTTGGACTATTCTAGAAAAGAGATGTCTGGACTAGACTGAACCACAAATGGACAAGGGTTTTCACTAAATCTTCGTAAATAGGAATCCGAAGTTGATGAGATTTATATTATATATCCCTTAGGGTATAAATGAGTATGCTAATAATACAGTAAACTAGGCCATTCTGGTGTGAAGTCAGTCATTCCCATATTGTACTTTGTTCTCTTCAAAATGTCCCCAATTAAGGAGTAAACCCTAAACATGTTAGGTGTCCTTCAGTTGATTTCAACTCATAATAGACTTATGTACAATAGTACGAAACGTTGCCTAAGCCTATTAATTACTTCAAAATATTGGTGCTTTTGGAGTAGAAAGACTAGGAGAGTAATACTCTGAATTGTCTTTGTCATGGTTCACTTCTGTATGGGAAGATAAAAATACTACCCTTCCACATGTGTTCATTAATTGGATCCATCAGTCAGGCATTATTGCTCTTTTAGGGAAAGAGTTGTAACCTTAGACCTAATAAGTGGCTTATTAAGGGTTTTTCAGACTGAAATGTCACTGGAACATGGGCCGTCTTTCTGATTCTGTGGATACAAGCCATGCCCGAATAGTCTTGTATAACTCTCAGAAAATGTTTGAACATTATATGTATGAACATTAATAAACTGAAAATTAACACTATTTTCTCAGAATCTCAGAATATTAAAGGATCATTGATTTGATAAATTATGTTATGTCCAAATTTCCAGCATAGAAAGAAAGGACGCATTACTATTTATTTTTTGGTTAGTGTTTGATTTTTTAATTTCAGGATCTAACAAAGTTTTAAGTAGCCCACATTCCTCTACTTTGTACAACCAGGGCCAGATTAAGGCATACAAAGGACCTAAACGCTGATAATCTAAGGTGCCCTCTGCTTTGTTTATCAGGCATTCAAATGGGATATGTAAGTTATATAACTTGTATATACAAGGTGGCTTCAAAAAGTTTGTGGAAAAATGCCATTATTTTTCAATTCTGTTTTTCCAGAAACTTTTTGAAGCCCCCTGCATATATGTGTGTATCTTTGCTATCCGTGATGTAACTTTTTTTTTTTCTATTCACTTTATTTTTACACTTACAAACCAAAAATATATATTCACTTAAATGTCCAAAGGGCACATTCTACCAACCAGCCTCCCTGCCCACTGGCAAACAGCCTTTCCCAGTCTATGGCCTAGAGCCCATAACTGCTGTCTCTCCACGTCACCGCCTCTGCCACCATCTCTGCTGTTGCCACTTTTCTAGGTAGGGATCTCACGCTCCATTCTTGCTTTTTCTTGATGGTCCTAGGATCCTCTGTTCCTGAGATGTAAGTTTAACTACAACCGCTTTTGGCTTATGCCATTTTGGTGGAATATGACTGAACTGGATTATAGCATCTTTAATAGATGGAGTGTACTGTGGTACTATAGAGTAAGTACTGTACTACTAACCACACGACCAGCAGTTCAAACCTACCAGCTGCTACTCGGGAACCCCATACAGGGTCACTGTGAGTCAGAACTGACTTGACGGCACTAAACAACAACAGAGGGCCTGTGCTACTATTTTTACTGTGAGCCACATTTTCTACAAAAGAATATTCCACATATTCTACCACCAAGAAGATTAGTCAGTTTGAACTCTGTTGAATCTCCCACAATGAAAAATTGACTTCTACCAGTTTTGCTGTAAATGACTTACACTTCAATTTTGATGCTTGTTTCATAATGTTATCAATAAAAATGAACAAATGAAAAGATGATCAGAAAATAAATATATTACAATAAATTAATTTTAGATCCTTCATCACTGAAGTTGTAAGTTATAATTGAAAACATTTCTATTCTTTTCTCTTACAAATTCCATTACTTTATTACAATTAAGCTGCCAAACAGTCTCTATTTTCTACATAATAAGGATAATGGATCTAGTCTTTCTTGAATCATTGTTGGACATTGAAGGTTTTTAAGTGTCTTTAGGGATGAAAATGAGCATTCTCTTGTATAGTTTTTAGTCATTAAAGTTAGGAATATGCATAGAGCAATTTAAACATTGGGAAATGTTGTATTTTCTATTATGGAATCACATTTTTATCTTCTATTATGGAATCATCAATGCCTACATGAGTTAAATTTGTCTTTCCTAAAGCTATAAACTTACTTATGTCATAATGAAATTGTCACACTTTTCCATAAAGGTGTGTATTTAAGCCATCAAGATTAGCCTGTGCTAATTTCTTGGATGCCTTCATACATTCTTCATTAGATATTTATACACTGTTTAAGAAGGAAAATCTATTTGAAAAAACTTCATATACTTTTACCCTTTTCATGAAAGATTCAAGGGTGTCAATGATGGTGTAGTATGTGGTTACACGAGTTCATCTCTCATTGCTTCTGGAGAACATCCATCATTTCCTTGTTTTTGTTTTTTCCTAATGCTGTGTTGGTGAACTCCTTGGTAATCAATATTTGGCAGTATTTGTTTTGGTCTGTTTTCAAAATTTTAAAAATCTTAAGATATGTATATACCCTGTTAATGATTGTTAAGAGATCTGTGCATATCTTTAAATTGACTTCTAAAGCTTAGAGCTCTTTACTTGTCTGATGAAAATGCTGTAATATATACATCCAATATAACTAACATAAATATATATCCTGTAAACACAACCTTTTGTTGGCAATATATTCATCCTTTTGGTATCTCCTTTTTGTACAGGTCTTTGTACGGTTCCAAGATTGTGCTTGTTGCTACAGCATGTGTTTCCCAATGTGCATTAGGAGGCATTTTAATTCTCAGCCATTGCCTAAATATATTTTTAAAACTGGCCATCAGTGACTTGTTGTTAAGTGCTTGTCGAGTTGGTTCCAATATAGCAACACTGTTTAGGATTTACAAGGAGTGAATGGTTGGTGAGTTTGAACCGACAACCTTTTGTTTCAAACTGACCTTGTAGTCAGTGCAATATCCTGCAGCACCACACCACAATTCCCAATGACTAGAGGTAGCAAAAAATGTGTAGAGTAAATGGACAGTAGGAAGAAAATAAACTGCTTTCAGACAGTCTACTGAGCTATGTCCTACAAGATTAAGTGAAAGTGAGTATATGATATGTACTGAATGTGAGATTATATCCTATCTGCCCAAAATGAAAAGGTAAAATGTGTTATTTTGTACAAAATTTATATTCAACTCTCATATGTGGAGCTATGTCCATAACTGATATCACAATAGCACCATTTCTCAATAAGCAAATTTGGTGAGTCATAACAGTATCAATACATTTCTTAAAAGGTCAATCTTCTAAGAAAAAGAACCCATACTAAAGGCCGGGGGCAGGGGGGGGCGGGATTCTTTGCTGGTTACTGGGATGTGAGGGATGGGGTGAGTGGAGGAAGGGGAAGGTGGAGCATAGGGCAGGGAATAGACACAGGATAGATTGGGTGCTAGGGAGGGGGTAAAAATACAAGAAAGGGGAGGGGAATGAAAGAACAAAGTGTATGGGAGAACAATTAGGCAGGCTTGCATGGGCTAAGTGGGACAAAAATAAATGATGTATGCACAACCTTGGAACAACAGGGCTCTGGGATACAGGGATTGAGACATGGTTTGAAGGGTAAAGGGGGGGAAATAATGTTAAGATGCTTGGCTGTCTTTTGAATCTTGGTTTCCCTGGCATACCATTATAAAATAGACACTTGAGGGGGAGAGAAAGGAATAGCCAGAAACATCACCATAGAAAGCTTGTAAGTCCATCTTCAGCCTATAACTGACTGGAATACCTAAAATGGGGCTACAGCGTGCCTGCCCAGTGAAGGAGGCTTCCTGCAGAGCCTCTGCATTACATAAGACCATAGGTGGAATCCTGAACAGCATCCAGAATCTTCAGAGGTAGGAAATTTCCACTTGAAAGGATACGCAGACCAGCCTAGAGTGGCTAGAAGAACAGAAGATACTTCTTGAAAGAAAGACTGACAGGAAAAAAATACAAAACAATAACGGCAGTCCAACTGACTACTACAAGAACAAGCCAGTTGCTCGCCCAGGAGACATTAAGGCAAGTGGTTGGGTCCCCTCAGAGCAATCCCCCTTCCAAGACTAAGACTCAATGGGAATACATGTTCTGATGGGTGACCACGTTTGTCACTGATAAGGGGAAGTGAAGGAAAAACAGCAATGAAGTTGCGTGCTAAGCCCTACAATGTTCAATAGACTCCTGTGAACCCGGATGGAGACCTGGTTGGCCAGCAGTGTTGCAAGACCTGGGAATTCTTGGGCCCAGAGTCAGTGACATAGCCACAAAGGACTAGAGTGGAAAGTGAAGCATACAGCTGATAGAAAGAGAGGGCATATGCACAAGAACACCCACACTTGCAGATAATACCCATTTGACCTGGCTTCAATGACTGGATGATCAGAGCTCAACTAGAAGAAAGAAGAGGAAAAAAGAGAGTAATCTGATACAATTTGATGAATTTGACCTACACCTATGGATGCAGTAGCTCAAAAGAGGAAACAAATCTTTACAGCAAGTATCATTCTTACCCCCTCCATACACTGAGTAGACAGGGATGGGCAACTTGGACATTGGCTACTCAAAGTGGGGGGAATACAAAGGCAAGAAGTGACTATCTTACAAGCTTTCAAGAGGGAACCTAGATCCAGAGGGCATGGAGGAAGGTAGAGTCTCCACTGAGTAGTATCCAATCTGTCTAGGCGGAATGAAAGGAAATTCAGATAGGTCTCTTGTGATACAACCATGAATAATTGTTCTCAAGACTGATTGTGAGGGTTGGAAATGTAAAGGTAGATGTTTTGTAGCAAGGAGAGGAGTGATTAACTTTTCAGTCTAGAAGCGGAGGTCCCTGGGACCATCAAGGGACAAGAGTGGAGAGCAGGACCCTACCCAGAGAAGCAGTGAGGCCAAAGATGGAGGCAGAGACGATGATGTGGAGAGATGGAGCAGCTGGGGACTTTAGACCCAGAGAGGGAGAGGGGCTGTGTGCTGATGACCAGGGGGCAGGCTTGGGTAGGCTTTCAGGGTATACCCTTTGGTTGGTTGATGATGCATGGAGGGGACTGTAACCATGGTAATGAAACTATACGATAGGATGAATATAAAACTAAAGTTCTCCCCTGTAAATATCACATAATTCACAGTAAAACATTAAAAAAAAAAAAGTCAATCTGAAGGGGAATGTAAAACAAAAATACATTTATATATATATATAATTTTAATTATATGTTCATTTAATCTGTTTCCTCAAGGAATCTTTCAATTTCCTTACACAGAGATGTGTAAATATTCTGATAAAATATAACTGTAATATTCTAATAAATGCCCTATGTTGCTATCTTGAAGGATGAAATTAGATACACCTTCATTGCAAAACAGAAATTTTTTTTGTTAAATAAATATTGAATTCTGTGTTTTCTTAAAGTGGTATGGAGGTGTAGGATAAGCACTAGACCACAAGGTTGATTTGAATTGCAAGGTGTTGGTTCAAATCTACCAGCTGCTCAGAAACCCTATACAGGGTCCCTATGAGTTGTAACCAACTCGAGGGCACTTAACGACACAACATTAAAGGCTTTAAACACTTTAAGAAACAGAAAAGGCATACCCATAATATCGCAGTGATTGTGGCACTGTAGGATAAGCACTGGATTGCAAACCACAAGATCTGCAATTCAAACCCATCAGCTACTTATCGGTAAACCCTATATAGGGTGGCTATGAGTCGGAATCGATAGCACTTAACAACATACCTAAACCACTCGGAAAGATGTTGCCACCAAAGATTTAGCTTTTTGTCTGGTTCTTGTATGAACACTTCAACAGAGTTCCACTTTTTGATACATTCCTGGGGTTTAAGTTCATCAACCATGTACCTTTCTAAGAAGCTGGCAAGAACAAGAAATGAGCTACAAATATAGCAGCAATAAAGATGAATCTCAAAAACAGTGAGAATAGGAAAATATTCCAGTCATAGTATGCACCAGAAAAGGAGAGGTCAAAAGAATCACAGCACACCAAATCCCGAACTCCTTAGAGGGCGGGGCCTTGTCTTAAACCCCGCCTAGGATTTAGCCGCTGGCGCCAATGAGAAGTAAGCTTGGGAGACAAGCAACGAGTGTGCGCGTGACGCCATCATATTGCGACCCACTCTCCCCTGACCCTGAGGAAGGAGAAAAACAAGCTTAGAGATAAGTGAGAGCGCTTCTGTCGGAGGTAGGTTCAGGGCATCGCAGGGTCGGGGAGAAGCCTAGTCACTGTTTCGTGAGAGTCCTCACGAAGTGGGTCCAGCCCATTGGGAATCTCGCTGGGTGGGATGGATTCAGCATGAACTGATTGCGAAAGCTGCTCCAAGTCGAGGACTCCTGAGCTACACCGAGAAAGACCCGCGTTGACCAGTTAGTTACCGGGTCTTCCAAGTTAAATCCTGAAAGCACTCACCCCGATGTTATCGTATTTTGCAGAGTGGGACTGTTTTATACATTAAGATGGGCTATCGGGTCGCTCGTTATAGAAATAGGGAATTGTGTAAGCATCGCTAACATGGCGATTCCAAAAGACCAACAAAAGCTTTTTGTGAACGCGGACCGTTTCTAGTGGCAAATTGGCAAGTTATAACCGACACATTCTTAAACTCTGAAATTTGCTTTTCAGGTGATTGAACGACATAATGTCAATAGTTCGTTCCTCCGTCCATGCCAAATGGATCGTGGGGAGGGTGATTGGGACAGCAATGCAAAAAACTGCCAAAGTGAGAGTGACCAGGCTTGTTCTGGATCCCTATTTATTAAAGGTGAGGCGCGTCCCCGTGTGCAGGTGGTCTTGACAGATCACCAAGTGCTCGCAACTCAGCGGGAAAGCATCTCCCTATAATTAATGAAGATTTGAGCATCTGTTGTGTGCCTGGACATTGTCCTGGCCTGTGGGTATAAATAGGTGAATTAGCCCAGATCGGTACTGCATTCTTGGGAGACAACTGTTCATCTGATTACTCCTGTAGTTATACATTAAAACCTGTGAGAGCTGGAACTCCCTGCAACTACCTTGTTTTGTTTTGGAGAGGCAGGAGGCAGGGTCTTGCAAATCATCCAAATAGCATTTTATCCAGAGGACCAGGTCAGCGGAAGACATTCTGGTCACATTGAGTAGTTCAGGTTTGCAGGTTTTCCACCTTTGACAGGCTGCAGTCTGAACATTTTTCCATTGCTCAAGTTAGCGGAAAATGTTTGTTTTCCCTCTCCGGTAGGTTTCTGCCTTACAGGGGTTTTACTGTATATACCGAGTACTGTGGGAGCAGACAAGGAGTCTTGATGGTGCAGTGAGTTAAGGACTGGCCTGCTAACCACAATGACTTTGGTTCAGACTCACCAGTCGCTTCACAGGAGAAAGATGAGGCTCTCTGCTCTCATAAAGAAACCCAGTCTTTGGAAACCCTAAGGAATGATTCTACTGTGTCCCATTCTGCTGTGAATCATAATTGGCTTGACGGTAGTTGGCTTTTTAGGGGTTGCAAGCAGACAGTAAAGTACTTAATTCTTTCCTCCCAGAGAGCTGGAGAATAGCATTCTTTATTAAGAGACATTTGAGCTGAATCTCAAAGAGCATTTTATCCAGAGGACTGGAAGAGTTGAAGTCTGTTTTGCCTTAACAGCAGGTGGTTAGGCAAAATTAGGTGCTGAGCTTAGCACTATGTAGGCACCCTTGTTGAATGAACAGTAAGGGTATCAGAGCTGGACTGTGAAGTGTCTTGTGTGTTGCATTTACGAGTTTAAGTTTCATCCTACAAACTAAGGAAAGAGGCCTGGAGACAGGGATGGGGACCGGAGGTAAGGAACCCAATAAGGATCGCACAAGGTGTAGGATGGAAATGATGAGAATGGGGACTGGAGGTAAGAAACTAACTAAGGAGACTACCCCACAAGGTGTCGGGTGGAGATGATAAGGACCAGAAGAAATATCAGGGGTAGAGTGACAAGAATAGATTTCAGGAGTAAGGGACAGGAGCCATTGATTTCTTCCATGTGGAAAGGAGGGAGGAGGAGGTGCCAAGGATGGCTTTGCTTTCCAGGCTGGCCACAGGAGTAGGTAGAAAGGCTGTTACTGAGGATCAAACCTTCAAAGCTACAAGAGTAACAGAAGAGTGAAGGATGATCTTTAACCTTGGGTTCTAGAGACCTGCATTCGAATACTAACTCCTTCAGCCTGTTTTCCTCAGGTATAAAATGGAAGTACTGGAACGTCCACTTATGGGTTCTTATGAGGAATTGGGCATGCTAGTTATCAGTTGGAACGTGCTTGCATTACATTGAACCAAGCACTGTGGCCAAGTACTTTACATTATGGCATTTCATTCACCAAAAGCATAACCGGCTTTTTGGATAATAGGAAAAAACTGAGCTCTGAGCAGCTAAGTGACTTGTCCCAAATCACACATCTAGTGATGAAAGTACCATGTGTATGGGCAGGAGAGAAGCCTCCAGTGGGAACAGCACATTTAAACCCTATAAGAAGAGATAACGTGACAGTTGATAGGAGGCGGCTCTTGATGATCCTGGGACAGACTGAGAGCTCAGGGACAGACAAGATCAGCTCAGGAAAAGTTGCTACTGTTTTCCAGAGACTAAGCAGCTGAGTCGTGTTTTCTGTTCCTAAGTCCTCACATGTGTTCTCTGCATTGCGCCTTCCTGCTCTCTCCTGCATCTATTCTAATCTTTCAGAATCACCATTGGAATCTACTGATTTCTTTCTCCCTTTCTTTCTCTCAATAGTATTTCAATAAGCGAAAGACGTACTTTGCTCACGATGCTCTGCAGCAGTGCACTGTTGGGGACATCGTGCTTCTTAAAGCCTTACCCGTACCACGCTCGAAACACGTGAAACACGAACTTGCTGAGATCGTCTTCAAGGTTGGAAAAGTCATAGACCCAGTGACGGGAAAGCCCTGTGCAGGAACTACCTACCTGGAGAGTCCAATCAGTTCGGAGGAGCCCACTCACCTAACCGAACGTCTGGAAGAGCTGACTGTCTCCCCAGCGCAGTAAAGACCACGAGGAAGAAGACGCCAGAGGGAAAGCATTACAAATTTGCTTTATGGAAAATGAAATTTTCCCAAGTGTAATCACAAACTGTCCAACTTCTCGACTGGTATTTATGAAATAGCTAAAAGCAATGGGAGTAAAAGGCTTGTACTTTTTCATAAAGGTTTATTTTCATAAAAACGTTATTCTCAGTGATCTTATTTTCCTGTTAAACCAAGTATCCCTAGTAATCCACTGTGTCGTTTTATAAACTCCCTGTTTTAGACGGTGTATAGTTGTTTGTTTGTTTTCATGCTTAGAACCCTGGGCTTATTTTAGTACCTTTATTTTGGGAGAAGAAAAACTTGGCGCTGTAGGCCGGTAATACCACATGAAATACTTATGTTGTGTGGTGTGTGTGTGTGTATATATATATATAAATTTTAATTTTCTGATTTCATCAATTCTTAATGGAAATAGTCAACATGCTTGTCAGATTTGATAAGAAGCAGCTGTGTTGATAAAAATGCCAACTTGTACAAAATATTTTTTTGCGTGTGTTTGACACTTTTCTTATATCCTGGATCATAGTTTCTGTTGTTGTTAAAGTGCCTTTGAGTTGGTTCTGACTCATAGTGACCCTGTATATAGGGCTCCCGAGAAGCAGCTAGCTGGTGAGCGTGAACTGCCAACCTTGCAGTTCAAACTGACCGTGAAATCCAGTGCTTATCCTACAGCACCACACCAGGACTCCCATCCTGGATCCTAGGCTCATTTAAATAAAACCAGTCGCATTGACTTTCAAGTCAGTTCGTACTCACGACCCTTTGTGTGTCATAGTGGAACTGTGTTCCATAGGGGTTTGTTTTTTTCTTTTTTAAATGTTTTTAATTGTGGTTTAGGTGAAAATTTATAAAGCAAAATCGCTTCCCATTTTAACAATTTATACCCACTTTCTCCCTGGGTTCCCCATTTTCATGTGTTCAGCTTTCCTGCTCCTCCTCACCTTCCGGTAATTGTACTTTGGGGCAAATGTCAGCTCTTTTGGTCTCATGTAGTTGAACTGTTCTGAGGAGCATGTTCCTCAAAGTTATTATTTTTCACTTTATAGACCTGATTTTTTGGAAGTAGATTTTCAGGCCTTTCTTCCAAGACACTTGCTTCTTTGTAAATCTGAAGTGTCATCCTTGAGCTATATAATTCAGTTTTCTGGTTTCTGTTAGGAGATTTAGAGTATATCTGAGCTTTAGCTAACATGCATGTTGGACAGCAGTGACTGCCCTATGTCTGGGGACTCACAGTCTATTGGGGGGCATGGGGGAGTACTGCCTGCCATTATGGGTGCACATAGGTAGGGTCCTTTCCAGGGGTGGTGAGAGGGTGCTAGAATTCCGTTTTACAGACTAGTAGATTAAGGGTCTGGGAGCATTCCAGGCACAGGAAAGGAAAAGTGAAAGGGGATTAAAAGCAGTTAAGGATTGCTGGGGTGGAACTCGGAGAAATCCGGCAGGGATTACATTGTAGGTGTAATCATTTATTTAAAGAGAAAATTATTTTGTTGTCAATTATTTAAAGAGAAAATTATATTGCATTTCAATAAGGGCATTAATATCCACGTGGAGAATGAATTGAACGGGGAAAGATGCAAGGTGGGAAGACCAGAGACCTGTTCTAAACTTGCAGTTCTAAAACTGATGAAAAGAATGGACAGATGATGTTCCAAAAAACTTTTGAGGTTAGACACCAGGGTGGATGAGCAAAAGAAAAGCGTCCAGGAGAGCTGCTGGCAGCACCAGGTACACCTCACCTTCTACTCCTCACCCTCTTTATGTGTTCAAATGCTGCCTTAGACAACTGCATCTCTGGTGCCCCAGTCCTTTCACCCCCAAGACACCCCAGCATCAGAGCCGTCAGTCCACAAACACTGTTGCCCCACCCTTCCTAAGCAAATGCATTTGTCCTGGGCAATGTAAACAGGGATCCCAAGGAAGAAGAGAGTATAAATTGTTGAATGAGAAACCAGTTTGCTTTGTAAGTTAGCACCTGTATAAATTGCCCAGGATTGAGGGCATTTTCCTCTTGGTCCCTGCAGCTCAAAACTGTCAGACACAGTGAGACACTGCCCTCTCAGTGGCCCTGCCCCTCCACCTTCTCCCTCCTCAGTCTGATTGCCCCTCTCTGTCCGTCTTGTTTGCAGTTTGTCACTGTTGCATCTTTATCATTCCTCTGGAAACCCCCCTGAACACCGTCAGCGGGGCTGGGCTGGCCATGCCTGTAAGTCCCTCTGTCAGGAACACCCTCCTAACACTGATCAACCCCTCTTCCCATGGAGACTGTGCTGTGGGCCAGCAATTATGGGAACTCCTGGTGTGTCCTCCCCTTCCCTACTGCCCTTTCTCCTACATGCACTCTTCTTGACACACCGATCCAATCAGTTCACATCACTAGATGGGGCAGATGTGAACACCAGGTGCTCAGCACCCTTCAGTGCTGAAACGAGTGGTAACAATCACAAGAAACGTCCGCCAGAGAACTTGTGTTTCTATCCAATATGCTTTTGGTATAGTGTTATTGTTACAAAAGGAGTCCTGGTGGTACCCTGGTAAAGCACTTCACTGCTAACTGATATGTTTCAGGTAGGCAGTTTGAGCCCATCTGCTGATCTGCACAAAAATCATCTGGCAGTTTTCCTAAAAATCAAGAGCCTTAGAAACTTTGTGGGGCAGTTCTGCTCTGTCCTAGACTCACTCACTGTGAGTCAGCATCTGGCAAGCAGTTTTGGTTTTGGTTTTAGTACATTCACATGGTACCAAATTCAAAGTGTCCCTGGATGGTGCCAATGGTTAATGCTCTTGGCTACTAAATGAAAGCTTGGAGGCTCAAATCCTGGGAAGAAAGGTCTGGCAATCTACTTAATGAGAAACCCGCTGCTATTGGAAAACCACAAACCATAATCCTACTCTAACACACCAGCGATCGCCTTAAATCAAGTTCTCTAGGCAACTGGTTTTAACAAAATTCAGAAAGTGCTGCGGAGACGCCCCCTTCCCATGTGTGCCCGCACGCCCTGGGTTGCCCTGGCAACAGTGTGCCTCAGGTGAATCCTTACACACACACATCAAGCTAGCCTGGGCCCTCTACGCCTCCAGTTCTGGGCACCCACCATCTCGGGCGCCTCCCAGTCCCGCCGACAGCACAGCTCCCTCCT